TTGCGTAAGCGCGTTGACACGAGCAATCTGTCCAAACTGCTGGCCAAAAGGCGTCATATTCAGTCGGAGAAATGCATAATTTTCGACTTCCTTAACTCATAGCTCTGTTGTCCCAATTACGAGTAACATTATCACATCAGGTGCGCAGAGGTGGCAGAAGTACTCAGATGTTGTACTTGAGTAAAAGTAGAAGTACCAGAGTGTAGGAATACTCTGTCACAGTAAAGTACTGCATTCAAAATGTTACTCAAGTAAAAGTAGAAAAGTATTAGCATCAAAATATAGTTAAAGTACCAAAAGTAATCATTGTGCAGATTGGTCCTTTTCAGAATAATATATATGATAGGTTTTATAATTATTGATCATTTAAGTGTTATGCAGTGGCGTTTTTATATGTACAAAACTGGTGGGGCACGAACAACTTAGATGTGTATATATAAGCTTCTGGTGCTTTTTTAAACACGTAAACAAATAGCTGTAGGCTATCCATGGTTCCGATAGAGAGAGAGGGGGGGGGGGGAGTATCAAATGACAGACTGTCGGAAGCCTTGAATGAAGAACACGGAGCAACACTGTAAGCGCATACATTTACGTACACAGCGTGGCGATGTCATATTGTAATGCACCTTAATACATGCAGTAAAGGGCACCATCACAAAGCAATACTTAACAATAACAACAACCGTAATGCTTCAGCATTAAAACACCATAGACTCTAAATATAAGGAAAACACAGACACTCATTACCGAGGTCACATTATCAATCGATCCAGCAGAGCAATAGCCTATAGGCAAAACACAGAAGATCAACAAAATATATGACATCAAATGAACAAATCTGAAGTAGATGGTCAACTTCATTCCTTTTCTTTCCGTTTGACTGATTTTAATGGCTATACGCTGCTCTCTCTCGTCACACTTTTCACGGCACACGTACTTATAGCCTATCAGCTCTGAATTATGAGACAACGTTTTGTTGGAGTTGCCAGCACTATTTTTTTGCGGCACACATTGAATACAAAAAGACTCTGAGCATGCGCAGTGTAGTTTTTACAGCACCCATTCATTTTGACAGCAAAGAGAGGGGCTAGATCGGGGCTTGCCCCACATCGCTCAACACGGCTCAATAGGCACACTGTAGACACTAACTAACACAGGGGTATCTCCTCTTCTTTAACACAGGGGTATCTCCTCTTCTTTAACACAGGGGTATCTCCTCTTTAACACAGGGGTATCTCCTCTTCTTTAACACAGGGGTATCTCCTCTTCTTTAACACAGGGGTATCTCCTCTTCTTTAACACAGGGGTATCTCCTCTTTAACACAGGGGTATCTCCTCTCCTTTAACACAGGGGTATCTCCTCTTCTTTAACACAGGGGTATCTCCTCTTCTTTAACACAGGGGTATCTCCTCTTCTTTAACACAGGGTTATCTCCTCTCCTTTAACACAGGGGTATCTCCTCTTCTTTAACACAGGGGTATCTCCTCTTTAACACAGGGGTATCTCCTCTTCTTTAACACAGGGGTATCTCCTCTTCTTTAACACAGGGGTATCTCCTCTTCTTTAACACAGGGGTATCTCCTCTTCTTTAACACAGGGGTATCTCCTCTTCTTTAACACAGGGGTATCTCCTCTTTAACACAGGGGTATCTCCTCTTCTTTAACACAGGGGTATCTCCTCTTCTTTAACACAGGGGTATCTCCTCTTTAACACAGGGGTATCTCCTCTCCTTTAACACAGGGGTATCTCCTCTTCTTTAACACAGGGGTATCTCCTCTTCTTTAACACAGGGGTATCTCCTCTCCTTTAACACAGGGGTATCTCCTCTTCTTTAACACAGGGTTATCTCCTCTCCTTTAACACAGGGGTATCTCCTCTTCTTTAACACAGGGGTATCTCCTCTCCTTTAACACAGGGGTATCTCCTCTCCTTTAACACAGGGGTATCTCCTCTCCTTAACACAGGGGTATCTCCTCTCCTTTAACACAGGGGTATCTCCTCTTCTTTAACACAGGGGTATCTCCTCTCCTTTAACACAGGGGTATCTCCTCTCCTTTAACACAGGGGTATCTTCTCTTCTTTAACACAGGGGTATCTCCTCTCCTTTAACACAGGGGTATCTCCTCTCCTTTAACACAGGGGTATCTCCTCTCCTTTAACACAGGGGTATCTCCTCTCCTTTAACACAGGGGTATCTCCTCTTCTTTAACACAGGGGTATCTCCTCTTCTTTAACACAGGGGTATCTCCTCTTCTTTAACACAGGGGTATCTCCTCTCCTTTAACACAGGGGTATCTCCTCTTCTTTAACACAGGGGTATCTCCTCTCCTTTAACACAGGGGTATCTTCTCTTCTTTAACACAGGGGTATCTCCTCTCCTTTAACACAGGGGTATCTCCTCTCCTTTAACACAGGGGTATCTCCTCTTGCCCTTTAACACAGGGGTATCTCCTCTTGCCCTTTAACACAGGGGTATCTCCTCTTGCCCTTTAACACAGGGGTATCTCCTCTTGCCCTTTAACACAGGGGTATCTCCTCTCCTTTAACACAGGGGTATCTCCTCTTGCACTTTATGTAGCTCTTTTATATTTTCTTGCACTTTATATGTCGTAGCTGCTATATTGTACTGCCATGTGGTCAGAGTTGGGTGTAACGTGTTACTTTTGTCGGTAACGGAGTAGTGTAACGCGTTACTTTTATAATTGAGTAATCACACTACAGTTACTAACATTGCCCCGACACGCGTTACTTTGTTACTTTTATAAAATCAGTCATAATCACACTGACAGACAAGAGGGGTTTCCGCCGCAGGTTTATATGTACGTAATCTGCGCGACTTGCACGTCCACATCTCCACGTGCAGTGCTGCATAAACATGGCTGAGTCAGCGATAACTTTCGAGGGGTGGAGGTATGCCCATTATTTTGAGTTCGTCCGAAGAATAGACAGGAATGTGACGGTGAGGTGCAAACTGTGTCCAGGCCAGAAGCTGTTATCCACTGCTGTAAACACCACGTCAAACCTCAACAAACACCTGCAAAGAACACATGCTAAGGTGAAGCTAATAGCTAAGGACCCCCGAACCCAGAGTGAGGATGTTGTGAGTGCGCCGCCGCCGACTCCGAAGCAGCAAAAATGACCGGTAACCAAAGCAGAGATGGACAGGCTTGTAGCATCCTTCATAGTAGAGAAAATGTTGCCCATTTGCACAGTGGAATCACCATCGCATCGTTCAGAGATATACTGCGCAAAATACAGATAGCAGGAGACAGAGGACAGCCATAGTCAGAGCTATCTGGATCAGTCTTATGCGACAATGGAAACTGAACTAAAGAGAACATTTGAAACTTTAGCAGTCTGCGTGATCTGCCTGTAGGGAGGGGCGGGCCGGCCCTGCGAGTAAAGTAACGAGTAAAGTAACGAGTAAAGTAACGAGTAAAGTAACGAGTAAAGTAACGAGTTACTTTATGTAGAGAGTAACGAAGTAGTGTAATATATTACTTTTTTTTAAAGTAATATTACATATTACATATTACTTTTTTTTTTTAAAGTAATATGTAATATGTAATATTACTTTTTTTTAGTAACGACCCCATCTCTGCATGTGGTAAATACTTGTGTGTGCTGCTCTTGCTCTTTTTCACTTTTTGCATATCATGTATTTTGTTTTTGCTATGTTTGTAAAATGTAATTTTCTTAAATGTTTTATGTGAGGGACGGAAATTAGCTCAAAGCTAAATCTGGCACTGTTACGCTTAACACATTTGACTGTTTTAAGTGTTCATTACTGTGCATTTTCCCTGCCAAATAAACGATTCAATAAAATAAATAAATCTTTAAATATATTTTAACATATATTTTATACATATTTTTGGAATTATTATTTTAATTCATTTCTGCTGACAGCAGGTGGGGCTGTGCCCCACCTGCCCCTAATGACGAGTCGCCACTGGTTCTCAAAGCTGGTAAAGGTGCAGCTAGTTTGAATGACTTTGTATACTGCAGGGTAGCTTGTGGATTTACTCCAGGTGGAACTAAAGTCTGATTTAACACTTGATTATATTTCACATCATTCATCCACATCTGTAAAGTAACTAAATATTAAATACATGTAGTGGAGTCAAAGTACACCAGTTACCTCTGAACTGTTGTGGAGTAGAAGTACTAAGTAGCAAAACATTTAAATACTCCAGTAAAGTACAAGTACCTCAACATTTTACTCAAGTACAGTACAATTATTATATAACATAATTATATATTTTTAATTTATTTCACATTTAAATAAAGCAATGTTAATTCGGTTAACAATGTGTTTAGTTCTTCCCTTTAAAAAATAACAAAAATTACCGATAAGAATACCGTTAAAGTACCGGATCGATAAGCAGGGACTACTAAGAGTAGTAGTCCCGTTAAAAACCTTAACTATACCCATCCCTAGATATTACACAAGTTAAGTGTTAAGAGAGTGAAATGTTGCTTTACGAATTTCAACACTTGATGCTGTCACCTTGATTCCAATTTCAGATACCTGTATTTGCCTAACTGAATTAGTTTAAAGAGAGAAAACATTTTGACTAAAAGGTGACTAAAATGTAATGATTTTTCATCGACTAAAACTGGACTAAAACGTTTTGAGTTGTCGTCGACTAAAACTAGACTAAAACTATGAAGGATAAAAAGGACTAAAATGTGACTAAAACTAATAAGCATTTTTGTCTTAGACTAAATAAAAAATAGCTGCCAAGATTAACACTGAGCCACTGCCAAATCTTTTACATTTTTCGTACATTGGGAGTTTCGTGAAACCTTTGAATATAGTGTGTATTATTTAACTTTTTCTATGACGCTCATTTGTATGGAACCCATTCCCTGTTATCCAAATATTCCTGCTTCTACACTTTCTTCTTACACATTAAAGCCAGCATAGCAGTTCAGCGTCAGCTTTTCAGCATAAAGCATTGCATTCTCTAGTTCTTTTAGCAGTGCTACAGGACTTACCGTTCAACATCCCAGACGCGAAGAGGCGACGTGTTCTCACAGCATGCGGTGCCTGTTACAAAGGATCTGCACACAGACGAGAGACACACACAGACCATGATTAGTGTCATCAAAACCACTTCAACAGATCAACTCAACTCAGGAAAAAGTGTTGATGCCACCTGTGATGGAAAATTCTGAAGCAATGCAGACAGGACTCAGAGAGACAAGAGAGAGCTGGAATTTTGATGGCAAACACTGATGGTTTATTTGGAGCTTCGGCCGGAGAATTCACAAGACATGTCGTGTGCCACGAGGTGACACAGCTGCTGCCAAACGATTCTGAAGATATCTGACCCAGTCCCATGTATTTAGCTGGTTCTGAGAGAAGAATCAACATGCTGCATACCAAGGTAAAACAGGCAAAGCACTATAACCTCTATCTGCTGTAGCCAACAGGCAGGGACAGGGAGACACTGAGAGCACAGCAGCCCGAGGTTGCAGGTGCTCATTGTACAAACTGATAAACTGGGTCAAAGTTATGGGCCCAGGAAAATATTTCCCCAACACCACCAAAGTCGTCACACATTTTTCCTTCGGAAGTGGTAAGGAGTTGGCAAAACTCTAGACATTTGATATCATTTAATGATCCTAAAAAATCATGCAGATTTCCTCCGCAGATTGTATGCGTCTATATTGACTACTAAAGACTAAAGAGACCACTGCAACAGCAATAAGTCTGATGGCCCAGCAAACAGAGAAACATTTTTTATTTTCCAGGTCGTCATCGTGAGTCCATGGTGGATCTTTGTTTGTCCATCTGCTCTATGAACATGAGCTCAGGACTCCTTTGTTCCCCTAAGTTCCTTTAATGTCTCTCTTTTTCTGGTATCAGAAGAGGACAATCCTTTCTCCTCTTTTATGCTAGCTTCTATTCATTTCTCAGTTAAAACAGGCTTTAGTGTTAGGCTACACTTTTGTTTTAAATGCATTCCATGTGAATACAGAAAGGTTTACACTGGAAACCTTTCAGTGTTTAATAAAGAGTGACATGAGAAATACAAACATTTATTTTGGCAGAGAAAACCATTAAAACAAGGGACATTCTCCATATTTGTAGATATATTTCTATTAGTAGATTGGCTACGGGACGTCTCTCCGGTGCATGTCAACTCTTGTTAATAACATGGCATGTGTTCCCCTATTTGATCTATTTCAATCATCTTTCTTCTCATGGTACAGTTATTAATTTGTATATAGATATACTGAGCGACTTCAGAAGATAAGTACACCGGTGGCTGACATTACTACCTCAATGGTTTCCTTTCTTTTGTTGTTATAAAATGTCTACGTCCACGTTGCTGGTAATTTAGTCAGAGGGACCTTACATTCTCCCCCTTAGTTTGGGGATGTATTCTTTATTTATTACTCATTACCCACTTGACTTAAGGAGTGGGCCCTAGTGACACACACACACACACACACACACACACACACACACACACACACACACACACACACACACACACACACACACACACACACACACACACACACACACACACACACACACACACACACACACACACACACACACACACACACACACACAGTTTCCCAGCAGAAGAACACAGTGGTGATCCTTTGATTGGAGTGGCAGGTTGGAATTAGCAGCTAGGTATGCACAGTGAATACCAGGCCTGTGGAGAGGGGGGGGGCAGAGAAAGGAGAGGGAGGAGCGCTGTGGGAGCGGGCTGACAGGGTGTGTCTGGCTGTTAGAAGCTATGTAGAGGGCGGGTGGTGACCAGGGGTGCTGGTGGTGGGGGGGCTTCTGTTGGGCCGGGCCGAGTCTCATGGCTTAGGGCCCTCCTACAGGGTTGACGGACAGGGGGGAGGCCCACCTTTTACTCACACAGATAGTTACTGAAGTGCTGTTGGTTGGATGACAATACTGTAGATGGAGGAGACAGACGCAGATAGAGATATGTGTCTGTATGTATTTCTATATATTTCTTCAGCTCAGTGAGATTGTATATTGTAGATCATTCAACTTATTCAATACTTTCGTTATATTTTGCATTATTTAAGCACAGTGATATATGTCCTTTCTGTGAATTTCTTGATGCTAATGTTAATTTTTATTATAAATACTTGTTAATTTTAATTGTATTATATTTGTATCTTATTGTATCTATAAAACATGTTTAACTCGTCTAATGCTTGTCAACACTGCTACTGTGACAAAATGATTTACCAGTATGCGATAAATAAAGTATCTATCTATAACACATTTCTGTAGCCTGGTGAAGGGAAATCACTACGTGAAAGGATTTCTGTTGAATTCCTGTAGGGGTGGGGGGGATGAAGTTGCGGTGAGGGTGGGGGGGATGAAGTTGCGGTGAGGGTGGGGGGGATGAAGTTGCGGTGAGGGTGGGGGGGATGAAGTTGCGGTGAGGGTGGGGGGGATGAAGTTGCGGTGACTGCAGCTACAGACGATCATACCTCAGAATAAATAACTTTCATTATAATCCCAAAATCTGAAATACAGTATCATTGCTTTAATTGTTGTCAGCCAACTAAACACATCTAGTCAGCGGTAATACACCTAAGGTTACATGAGATCATAAAGACCTCCCTCACTATCAAACATTTCAGTTCAAAACTATTTTTAAATACTAGGGATCCAAGTGATTGATTGAATGATTAATTGGCCTTCCACAATGACTACACTGAAATATGTATCTGTAGATCTGAAAGTGTGAAGCATGAACCCTTTGTTGTGCTTGAGGATAGAACACTGCCAACTACTCATTTGCAGCCTGCAGATAAAGATGTAGATATGTACGGGAATAAGAAAGTCCCAGAGATTGTTTCAGGGACTGTAAGTATATTCAAAGTGGATTTTCATTTATGTTGACCCCAAGGTTAACTCCCAGCCAGAGAGAAAGGAAGGAAGCTATTAGCTCCAGCTGTGTTGGAGCACAGGTCAGAAACACTGGCAGCAAGCCTGCCTTCATTTAAACAAGACAACCAGTGCGGCCTTCCACGGTGTCTTTGTCCTCTTTTTGTGGACTGTGCCAAAGATATCAGTCAGAGGGATATTTCATCTGCAAGTAAAGAGAAACTGAGAAGTGACGAGAGGTCGATTGGAAAACTAAATAGATAGGTTCACAATTGCTCAGGCTTTGTTCCTGTAATGTCTGAAATGTTTCTGTGGTCATCTTGGACTGGCAGCCCTCATCAGGGAGGAGAGCATCAGAACAGGAACAGTCTGGAGGGCTTGGATTAGCTATTCCCCCTCTTCCACTGAAATGACGTCTGTTCTGCTTTCAGGCTGGGGCTACTTTGGTTCACAGTTGGTTCAACCTGCAAACAACTTATGAACCAGTTTGCTTTTCCACGCTTGGTGCATATTCCTTTTATAAATGTATATTTATTTTAGTTTTACCTGACAATGTTTGGCCGCATGGCGCTGTAAATAAAGGGTTGTATGATCTGTAAGTTTCTCTCCTATTACTTGAGGTAATAAATGTGTTTTGTGCGGTCGTGTTCCAGCTACTTTGCAATCCCAGCGTCACTGCTTCTGCAACAACCTTCTACTGTCGCCAGGAACTGATGTTGCTCACGTAAATCCCCCCCAAGTCGAAATAAATGGGATTTTAATTGTTTCTTAGACAGTGGAAAGTCAAGAGCTAACAGGAAACAAGAGCAGAGCGCAGTAACGGGAGCGTCCACACAGCAGCGTTACACAAATCTTGAAACACTTCTGCCCATTCACTTTGAATGGGGTGACGTCACTTTGCCTCACTTTTCGCCGAACTGCATTGTGGGAAGCAAAGCGGAGATTTCCAGGCATCTCAGGATTCAAAAGTTGAGCAATGTTCAACTTTTGAAGCTGAGGTGGAAGCGTCAGCCAATCAAATCCCGTTTATGCAAATCTGACAGTTCAAGCGCTAGCCAATCAAACGGCGTGTATGCTGGGAGAGACATACCGCAGGTCATTTCCTCATATTCCAAAAAATGGAGGAGAAATTAGCGGTAGCAAATCACCCGGTGCTTTATGACCAGTCCTACCGGGATATAAACCGGAGGAGCCAGGCATGGAGGGAGGTGGCAGAGACAGTGGTATGTTTTCGCCTGTTTGGGGAGTTTATATCCAGTTTACTTCGGGCTTTTTGGCTTCGTATGTCGGGGGCGGGAGATTCATGTGATTGGTTGATGGTGCCTTGCTCGCAAAAAATCCCCAAGCTTCAGATACGCCCACCTCCAAGATTTTTTTAACGCTGCTGTGTAGACAGGCCGTAACAGGGAGGCTGCACTTCTGACATGACCTGGTTCGCAGGTTAAGCCCCCTTAAGCCCCCATGCCACCGGGCGCTCCTCAACAGTTGTCATTATAGTGTGTTATTTTCCAGAAGAGCCACCATGAAGAACCACGCTGCTGAGCAGATGCAGACTGTGGTTCACTCAGAACCTTCTGGAGAACAGCCACAGTCCACGAGGAGCAGAGCTCACATGTACTAGTGAGGGTTGGGATGTGTTGGGGGGCTGAAGGGGGGGGGGGGGGGCAGCTGTCAGATCCGTTAAGCAGTGCTGCCAATTGGCGGGCCCTCAGTAATTAGTGTTGGGTAAACTCATTTATGGCCCAAATGGGTCGGGTGGGGCTGGGTCCACTGTGCTGGTGGGTGACCTTTGACCCTGCTAACACAGGATACAATAGGGTTACAGCCAAACTCACTATCTGGACCCTATTACTCTCCATTACTCACATTACTTCCCCCTCAGTGGGCCGTGGCCCCGGCAGAGGACAGCAGCCGTACAATGAGGGCAGGACTCCCCCTCTGTGCCCCCCAGCTCTCTCCCCCTGCTGAAGGGCCAAACGGGCCCAACCTGGGGTCAGAGCTCGCACTGATATTATAGCTGCTAGGGTCACAGACTCTCTCGCCTCATGTGGGGCAGGTGTCCCCCCTAAACACACACAAATGCACACACACAGTCACATCTCTGAGCAAACAGAGTCCCGATCTGTGCCCCCCCACTCCTCCTCTCATCATTAGCAGCATGCTGGGCCGTTTGGGTAACCTCATC